ACATCAGGTGGGACGAGAACCCAGATCTATTCGCTCCCAGCCTGCTGCTCTGTCCACCCAGACAAGCTGTCCTCACTCACTGTAATGCCCCTATGTGTCTCAGGGGAGCTTCCCGCCACTCGCTGCAAGCTTCTTCCCCAGCAGGCTCCATGGGAGGGGGACAAAGGGAAAGGACACCCCCAAGCAGCTGGACCCGGCCCGCCTTACCTGGAAAGGACGATGTTCATGGCTGCAGGAATGGGCCAGCCTTCCTATCACCGAGCAGTAACACTAGTTCTGGCTGCAGAGGGACCCACCAAAAGCACAGCTGTTCCTGACCCGGCACAGGTGGCACGCCCAGCCTGGTTGGTATGGCAACGCTACCAACAGAGAGCCCGGGATGTGGGTGGAGCCATGGTTCTGGTTTCCAGGGGTAACTGGGCCTGTTCTATATCCCTGCCCAGCCTACGGCTGCTTCCTCTTCAAATCTGTCCATATTAATGGGTAGATCTCCCCTGCCTGCTTCTGAGAACTAGCTCTGCCCCTCCCCTAGCACCCAGGCACTGTCCTTCCTGGGCTGGCTAGGTGTCAACCAGCAGAAGGTGGCCCTGGGAAGCAGGACAGTGGGGGCAGGCCTGGCAGTTCGGGTCTGCCTGGTTTTTGAGTCTGCGCAGGAGGGGTGATTTCGATGTCACCAATTCTCTATAGCCCCCATTGGTGCCAGGCTCGGCACTTCTACTTGTGTGACTGCCCCCTTCCCCCATCTCAGCTGTGTTCTGGGGGAGCCCCCCACAGCGTCTCTTTTTTCCCGTTCTCTGCATCAGGGTGAGCCTTCTCCTGATGCACGCTGCTCCCGCGGGAGCCCCCGAATACCTTCAGGGCAGGATGCGACGTTAAGGTCTCCCTCCGTGACCCCATATTTTGGAGGTGCCCCCAGTGCAGCTCTCCCAACCCCAGCTGGTTTGGGGAAGCGAGGGGATGAACTTGATCCTTTATCATGAATAATTAATTGTATTACCCACAATGCCCACAGTGTCTTTCTCTGTTTAGCACAGTCCCTGCCACTAGGGAAATGCATTCTCAGAGCTGAACTCCTCCACAACTACACAACTGGCCTGAGGGGTGGATTAAAACTGTCCTGACCCTGAGCCACCCAAACACTGCCCTATACCCTGCTAGGGGCTGGAGGGGAGGGATTTCCCCTTTGCTCCCCTCAGACAGCACAGGCGTGGCCAAGGCAGGGGTGACACGCAGCTACGTCTCGCAGTCTCCCTCGTGGGGCACCTTGCAAGCTTCTGCCACTTTGAGACACATTTAAACCCAGCCGTGACACAGTGGCAAAATATCAGCCCCTGACCGTTGTACAGTTGACCCAGAAGCAAAAGTAGGTACCGGAGTCGAGATCCAGGGTTTTGAATATGAAACGCCATCGTCCCAGCCCCTCCCCTGAAACCTGGGGAGGGGTGTTTGGCATACAGTGTTCCGGTTCAGCCATAGGCGCCGACTCCAGGAAAAATTAGTGGGTGCTCTGCGCCCACCGATAGCCATGCTCCCCCCCGCCCCACCTCCACGTCCTCTCCTGAGCACGCTGCGTCCCCACTCCTCCCCCTACCTCCCAGCGCTTCCTGCCTTGCCGCCGCCAAACAGCTTTTCGACAGTGTGCTTGGAGGGAGGGGGAGGAGCGGGATCGTGGCCCATTCAGGGAAGGAGGCAGGGAAGAGGCAGGGCCGGGGCGGGGATTTGGGGAAGGAGTCGGAATAGGGGCAGGGAGGGGGCGGAGTTGGGGCGGGGACTTTGGGGAAAGGGTTGGAATGGGGGCAGGGCCGGGGGCAGAGAGGGGTCGAGCACCCACCGGCAGGAGCAGAAGTCGGTGCCTATGGTTCAGCCCCGTGTCTAGTCCTTGCCTCCTCATGTGTTGCATAGACATTAAGACCAGAAGGGACAATTGGGATCATCTTGTCTGACCTCCTGCCTAGCACCGGCCAGAGACCCTCCCCCCATGATTCCTGCACCTTTGGCTGAGACAGAATGGATCACTTAGAGAGACGTCTGGGCACCAAGTGACAAAGAATCCGCCATGCCCTAGATCACTGGCTGCAATGGTTAATCACCTCCCTGGGAAAAAACTTGCCCCTTATTTCCAGTTGGAATTTGTCTGGCTTCGACACCCAGCCGCTGGATCTCAGTTGGCTTTTGTCGGCTGGCTTGCAGATCCCGCTCCTCTCACAAATCCTCTGCCAGGGTAGGTACCTGTTCTGGGCAATGGGCGGTCTGCCAGTATAGGCACATGAACGCCAGCCGGATCTTCTCACGTGCCTCCTCGCAGTGCCTGGGGATGTGCAAGCTGCTGCTAAGAGGATAAAGGCTCTTATCTTTCCATGACTCGTACAAAGTTTAAAGGTCAGCATGAAACCTTTTTGTGTATGTGTTACAGCTGGGCCTGGACTGCCTGCTTCACATACTCTGGGTCTAGCTCACTGGCTGGCTGCAGATTAAGTCTAATCTAAATTCAATATCTTCTGCAGAGAGAGAGATTAAAGAACGGACTCTTCCCCGCTCCCACCACCACTACATGGAGTGGCTCCATTAGCTAAAACCCTCTGTAAAGCTGTAGGTGAGCTGTAGCTTCTTGCTGTCTCTGCTCATCCCCCTCTTGGGGATGGAGTCTGATTGAGTAGCTCAGGAAAGAATTTTTCACTTGACCAGAGCTCAAAGAGCTGGGAAGCTCTTGTGGCTAAATCACAGGGGGAATTCTCTGCCCTGTGTTCTGTAGAAGGCCAGACTAGATCGTCATGATGGTTCCTTCTGGCCTTAACACCTGTGCCTGGGAGTCAGTGGAATTAGGTTCTACTCCAGCCTCCTCTGTGACTTTGGGCAAGTCCTTTACATTGTTCCCTGCCTCAGTTTCCCTTTCGGTAAAATGGGGATAATGCTTCCCTCTCTCACAGGTGTTGTGAGGCTTACTTAACCATTTGCAAAGGAAGGCCTTTGGATAGGAGGCACTCGAGAAGGGCAAACTATTGGTATTACCAGTAAAGCGCAAAGGCCCTGGCTAGGGAATGAAGCCAAGCCCAGCTCGGTCTTTTACCAAACTCCTGTGATAGTTATAGGGGCAAATTCTGGTTGGCACTTGGCACTGGATCCCTCCAAGCAGATACGCAAACAGCAGTGCTGACTGCTCGTGCTCCATGGCTCGGAGAGGGAGGTGACATGTGCTAGCCCCCGAGGGAACTAGGGGATTTCCCCTTCTCCCATGGCCCTGGCGGGGGCACATCACAAGCACCCCTCCTCCTTTTTGTCTCACCGGAGACCTCCAGTCAGTGCTCCCTGCACAAACCCCTTCCTCAGTCCTGGGCACATCACCTACCTTCCCCTGGCTCAACCCAGCCTGTCCCCACCCTAGCAGCTGACGGAGCCCAGTGCTTGGAACCGGGGAGGGGGGCATGACAGGAGGGATTCAAGTGACTGCTCTGGGGGGAGTCCCCCAGCATCCCTTGAACTGTCTCTGGTGCTCAAAGAGCTGCAGATTGTTTTAATGAGCTCCTTAACTGGAGTGCACCGTGGCACCCTCCAGGCAGAGCGACGTCAAAGGGCAGGTTACGTCTCGGGGGCGATAAGGGCTGTGTCTTCTGCTAAGTAGCAGTCTCGGCAAAGGGCTCAAGCATGAGGCTGGCAAGACAGGTGTGAGGTCCTGTGGCCCCTTGGGGTCCTGTGGCCCCTCTGTGGCCCCTCTGTGGCCCCTTGGGGTCAGAGGACTCCATGCTGTCTTTCGCACAGAGAGGAAGGGAAGAGGCTATGTGAGAGGCACTGGACTGTGACTCAGGAGACCTGTAGTCAACCCCCAGCTCTGCCACAGACTCTCTGGATGACCTTAGGCATGACTGCTCAGTGCCACAGCGCCCCCCCTCCCCCCATCAAATGGAGATGACGGTCCTCTCTGGCTGTCTTGGCTACTAGACAGCAGGAACCGTCTCTCACTGTGTATCTGTGCAGTGCCCTGTGTGATGGGGCCATGATGTTGGTTGGGCACTAAGAGATTATGTCCTTGGTGAAGGATCGTGCCCCTCTGGGGATTATTTCTCCCCATCAGTACTGATGTTTATTTGAGGGAGGGGATAGTTTTAAGGGAGACAATCCATCTGTGGTTGCAGCAGGTGTAAGCAATGTGCAGCCATGGAGAGACTTTTTTTTTTTTAGCTCTGTAGTTGCGTTCTTGTTGGAACAGTTTGCAAAGCCAGATGAGTCCCTGGCAAAGACACATACGCCGCTTCACCGGCAGCTGGCAGGGGTCGGAGCTACCTGAACATGCAGGGCCTGTCCCCCAGCACGGCCCCCCTCCTCCCGGCTTTGGGTCCTTGCCAGCGGAATGCAGCTGTCCCTGACTGGCACTCAGATACGCCTGAGTGCACAGAGGGTGGTGTACAGCAAAGGGCTTATACGTGGCGGGCAGCAAGGGCAGGCAATGCACGTGACTGGCTCTACACCAGTGGGTCTGGCCGTCTTTTAAGGTTATAACCCCACAGTGCTTTGACTCTAACTATAGGTTTCTATTTAGCAGGCACTGGACTTTGCCTTCCGATTCTTGGCTTCCAAGTACCCAGCATTGATTTGTTTATGTAGTTCTGGAAGTATTGGGCCCCCTGGAAAGATCAAAGGTTCGAGAAGGTTTCCTACTGGGATGGAGATCTACTGCACAGCTGGATGGGTGGATTCCTGAGTCTGGGGGATCTACCACACAGCTGAGATCCGTTGCTCAGCCAAGCTGGACTATTTCTCCATACATCTGGCTGCATTGGCTTTGAAATGGGCAAGAAGAAAGCTGGGCAGGGAGATGGTGTGTCCAGGGGATCATGAAGGAGCTTAGCTGACAAGCCTGGTTTTATAACACACACTGCAGTTGCCTGAGGTTAGTCTAGCCTTGCTGCGCACAGGCGTATTCAGGGGGGCCCCCCTGATGCTTTTCCTTTGGGGGGGGGCAGGGAGCAAATCTAACCAAAGTGCAGAGCTGCCCCCTGGTGAGGAGACAGCCGTTCAGACATGGCTCAGTGCAGGGCTCTCCGCCACCCGCGTTGCTGCAGCCAGAGGCAGTTGCTTAAACAGAGGCAGCGGGTTTTAAAGGCCATAACGCTGCTGCGTGGGGGCCGAGCTCTGTTTGACAACCTGCTCATCTCCATGGCGTATGGGAGACGAGCGCTAGTTCTTCCCTCTGCCCCTCCAGTCTTATGGCTGATGCCTTTCACCAGGCAGGTCCCCAGTGCAGCCAGGGGCATGGCATCTGATCCTGAGACCCTTTGAATACTAGTCTGGTGGCATGATCTGCTCTTTGCTGCTGGCCTGCCTTGGCAACCCTCTTCCTGCAATGCTCAGTGATTTTTCCTTTTTGCT